ACCTGGGGACCTGGGGCCCACCTGCTACAGATGCTGACTCATTAGGTCACAAATGAAGCCCCGGGATCTGTCGTTTCACCAGATCCCCAGGTGATTCTAATGATCAGCCGAGGTTGGGAACCTATGACCGATACTGCTGACTCCCAAACGTATTTGGCCTGCACCCTTTTCCCCGAAAAAGATGGCCTCAGTGCCCTGAGAGGAAATAAGCAGTGTCTGCTCCCCACCCCTTGGCTTCAGAGAAGAGGAAGCTAGATGCTAAGATCGGTCCAAAGTTACAGAACTAGTTAATGGCACAATTGGGCCCAGACTCCAAAGTGTCCCCTAGCCCAGTGCTCTTCATCCACCTTCACCCTGAGCTCTTCTTACACGCTTTTATCAGCACCAAGGAGTCTAGAGCACTCCCATCCAGCTCAGAACCAGGCATCCAGACCATCATGGAAGCAGGAGCCGATATCTGCTTTTTTATTGGCCCTCGTCCGTGAACAGTGAACCCCTGGAGCTGGGCCTTCACCTTCCTAGCCATCCCCAGATCCTACAAGCTGAAGCCTAACTAGACCAGCTTGGGGGGCGGGGGAAGGGGAGGAAGGCTGCTCTAGATGTGGGATGTGGCTCCCCATGAGACTCCTCTCAACTCATAGCCAGTCTGGCCCGTTGCCTGCTGGGCCATGGAGGACAGCACCTTCCTACCCTCTACTGTCTGAAATGGAGACCAGGGGCGGATGCCTCCCCAATGTATCATGGTGGGTGGGTGGGGGACACCCTCTTTGGATTGGGGACTGCCCATTCACAGATAGAAGCTGAACACTCAAGCTAAGAGGTGTCTGGCTCCAGGCCTTCAATTTCTTGGGCGAATCCAAAGGGACTCTCTGGAAACAGAGTTTGGCTTCATAATGAACAATATAAAGCAGGGTGTTCAGCTTCAAATTATCTGGATTTTCTTTCTAGACTCACAGGATATTTTCCCCTTCCGTTTGTCCTAACTTCTACTCCTGCCTCACCCTTACCTCCGCCACACACAGACACACATGCACACAGACTCTCATGCTCAGCACACACACACACACACACACACACACACACACTTCCATTAGTATTAGGAGCTCACCTGTTGGTTGCCATACACACATGCACACTTACTCTCACTCATCACACACACACACACACACACACACACACACCTTTTTATTAGTATTAGGAACTCATCTGTTCGTTGCCATATGCGAAATTCAGGAAAGGCTGGATCCATGAAACTAGGTGGTAGATTCTGACTCACAGCCACGGCATGTGACCGAGTAGAACTGCCTTGCAGGATTTCAAGGCTGGCAGAAGGGAGCTGAGCAGTCAGCTTCACGCATGTCTGCATGTGAGCATGTCCTTCAGCCCCTTCAGTCTGAGCCTGGGCTGAAGCTAAGCCCTCCCGGCCATCAGTCAACAATTCAGCACCAGACACTGCTGGGCCACTCGCTGCAGTAGTGGCCATATTCGCAACGTCTTCACCATTTACTGAAATGTGACAGACACCGCTCTAATTCTACTCCTTAACAGGTACAACCTTACAAACCCACCCAAACCACATCCACTGCTGTCCACATCTTTCCTACTCAGAGACCCCAGAGGACAGAGTCAGCCTGCCCCTAGGATTTCCCAGGCTGTGAATCTTTCTGGAAGCCAAGCAGGCTCCCCTAGCCTTTCTCTCAGCAGGTGGTGGTTAGCCAACTGGAGCCAACAGGGCTTCTTAAAATCCTACCAAAAAATAATAAACAAACAAACAAAAAATCCTACCAAAACCCACTGCCAACGAGGCGATGCTGATTCAAAGCAATCCCTATAGGACAGAGTGGAGCTGCTCCTGTGAGTTCCCAGAGTAGAAACTCCTGTCTTTCTCCCTCAGAGCAGGTGGCCATCAATTGCAGCACAACACTGGCCACTAAGCCACCAGGGCTCCAAAAGCTTAGAAAGCAAAGATCAATAGAATTCCCACGGGCAGATGACAACACAGTGGCAGGGGGAGTGAGGAGCTGTGGCTGTCCATGTTTCCCTAGGTGGTAAATAGACTTCCAGAAGGATGAAAAGCCAGGTACTTGGGGTCTGGGCACAAACTCCTAGTCACTCCACCAAATCAAGAAAGACGCTGTCCCTGAGATAGACCAGACACAGGGGTCAGCGCGCACATGTTGTCACTGTAGATGCTAATTGTAGGAACGGTTCTTTCTGGTCTTCAATTGCACTAATTACACAATTTGCTTTGCAAGCCCGTGATCCCAATCCCGACTGCTTATAGATCCTGAGGATTGTGTCCTCTCGGATGAGGGGTTTCCAGTGGCGCCCAGCCTGCCATGGCACCCTGCCCAGTCGGAGGCGTCTAGGTCCTGGACCAAAGCCTCTGGCCGGTCGCGATCCCCGGCAGAAGGCCAGGCTCCGCGTTAGGCCCGTCCTTTTCCTGCAGCACTGCGGGCCCAGAAGCGAGGCAGCTTTGGAACGCAAGCGTGTGCAGACGCCCAGGCTGCCCGCCGCCTCTCTTGGTAGCGGCTGCATCCCGAAGGTCCGTGAGCGCCGCGCCGCTGATGCTGCCTCCACGCTCCCAGCGCCGCGCTTGGGACTCAGCCTCAGCCCTAACGCTGACACACGCACAACAGCTGTGTCTGCCTCTCACTACAGGCGCCAACGTTGCCTCCACCCCACCCCGTCCAGAAAGCAGAGAGATCGCTCTTCCTGGAGCGCAGTCCTGGGTGGGGTGGGGGTGGGGGGACAGCGGGACACGGGTTCTTGGGAGAATTGGATCCGCACGCGCTCAGTGCGCACCAACAGCGAATCTTTGGTTTCTGGGAGCAGCCTTAGCACAGGCTAGCCTGGCTAGCATAACCGAAAAATGAGGTGGGTGGGTGGGTGCAGGCTGTCCTAGGCCTCTGGAGTTCAAATTTGCCAAACCCGATTGTCCATTCCTTCTCCCCAACTGCATTTCGGGCCCAGAATCTTGCCATCCAGCGCTGGGAGAGAGCGCCTGTCTCTGCGGGTCAGAACCATTACCCCTCCACCCCCAGAATCCAAGGGAACGCTGGTTCTTAATGAGCCCTCCGGATGGTTTCACCAGGGATTTGTCCTAAAGGAGGGCCCAACTACTGGGCCCCAGAGGATGACCTGGACAGCAAGTCTCTGTCAACCTCAGGACCATCCCGGATCTTCAACTCTTGGTTGGTACTCGATTCCTGGTGTGTCCTCAAACGCTGCAGGATGGTTCCTCCTGAGAGGGGTGCACTATGTTCCCCCATGACTGACTGACTCTCCTTGTTTGGGGCACAACCCAGGTGTCAGGACCCAGAAAGAAGCAGGGATAGCTTTCTGGTGGGGACCCAGACTTCACTGCGCTTATTCTGGGGGCGGGGAGAGGGCTGGGGACAGACCCACGCTCCCTTGGTTTGAGGGAAATGATGGAAGGTGTCGATCACCTCCACCCAAAGCATGGACCACTTCTACCCAACCAGTTAGTTTGCTCTGCTTAGAAATGGGGAGGCTAAAGCCCAGCGTGTGTGTGTGTGTGTGTGTGTGTGTGTGTGTGTGTGTGTGTGTGTAGGGAAAGGGGACTTGGTCAATGTTTCTAAGTCTCTTCTCAAGGTGGGTGCCGCTTGGTCTGACTGCTGAGCCCTCCCCAAACCTAATGCTTAAAGGGCCCTGGAAAACACCCCTGGGGTGGGGGTGGGGGCTCTAAGCTGCAAGGCTGTTAGTTCTTTAAGAGAATAAGCCAGGAGATGAAGGCTGGGAGCCATCAGCGACCTGGAGTCATCAACAGGGACCGTACTAGCAGAAGCTGCATTAGAGACCAGAGAAGCTGCCAGGCACCTTGCAGGCTGAGGATAGCCCCTGACTGTGTCAACCAAACACAAGGATGGGGCAAGGGTTTAGGCTCACTCACAGGGAAATGCTAGAGGTCTGGTCCTGTTGAGGATGGCCGTGGGGACTATGAGGACTGGAAATGGGGCAGGGGGCCAGACCCAGAGCCTGAGAATTTCCTTCCATCCTCCACCGCTAGGCTCTGCCTGCAGGAGCCTGTGTGTGCCAAACCAGTAGGAGAGATGGGACCGGCAAGTTCCCTTGGGGTTGTGGGTGCGGGGTGCGGGGGCGCTGGTGGAACAATGGACTAGGGCTAGCAGTACCCCAGTTCTGAATCCTCTCCAGTCTCTTGAGAGAGATCCAGTCCAGGCCCATGCCCGCCCATTCCAGTGTGTGGAGACCCCGGGGCGCACAACCACTGGCGTGTCTAAGAAAAAAGAAGTTTATTTAAAATTTTTGTACATAAATAAATAAATAAATATCTTCTGGTATGACAGAGACCATACAATTACATAGCTATGCCAGGCGAGGCCAGAGTCTGGAGGCTGAGGAGTTGGGGTTGGGGCCGGGGTCAGAGGCGGGTAGAGAGAGAAGGGTGTAATGTGGGAAGCGTAAGTGAATCGGTACCTCACCCCCACCACAGTCTGCTTTGGGGAGCGGACCCTGCGGGGCCTGCCTCCGGAACAGCCGATCCAACGACAGAACGGCCTACAGATGTTCGAGGGGTTCCCCGAGAGAAGCGAACAGAAAGCAGGGAAAGCGAGACATTTCTTCACTGTGCGTGTTGGGAAGGAGGGACGGCTGGATAAACCAGCGCGGGGCTGGGGTGGAGAGCTGGAGAAAGAATTGGACAAGAGGAAGATGAAAAGCGGGGAAAGGCCGAGCTGCACTGGGGCGCAGGAGAGGATCGGAAACGGAGAAAGCCGAGCCAGTGCGGCCAGCAAGGCGCTGGCTGGGCGGGAGAGCCCGCAGGAGCCGCTGCGTAGCGCGCCGGAGAACCGGAGCGCAGGCCGGCAATCGGCGTCGCCCAGGCCTCCAGACCTCGGTGAAGTGGTGCGAAATCCGGGTTTGACCAAGGGTGTTGAGAACTATCGTTGCGCCCCTGACCAATTTCGGGGTGGGGTGGGGGGCTGTAGAGCATGGGGTGGGTGGCCTAGGGGGGCGCGCACCTAGGGCGTGACGGTGAGATCCCGTTCGTCCTTGCCGGATGAGGACGGAGACAAGGGGAGGTCGTCGTCATCTTCGGAGCCCTTGGCCAAGGAGAGCGACGCGCACTTGCAGGCCGGGGGCACGCCCCCGCCTCCCCCCGCGCCCCCCGCGCCCCCGCTGCCGCGGGGGTGACCGCCCTTGCCCTCCTTCTTGTGCTTCACGCGGCGATTCTGGAACCAGATCTTCACCTGCTTCTCCGACAGGTTCAGGTAGGTTGCGATCTCAATGCGGCGCAGGCGGGACAGGTACATGTTAGAGGCGAACTCACGCTCCAGTTCCAGCAGCTGCGTGCTGGTAAAGGCGGTGCGCATCCTTTTGCTGCTGGGCAGCGGGTTCGAGCTGCTGTCTGGGGGTGCGCAGAGAGATAGGGTCAGACCCAGAACCCCCCCGATGTGGGAGTCCCGCCCGCCCCTCCAACCCAGCACCGTTCTCCCTAGCGCGACCTCCGGCGCCCAGCCCAGGACA